ATTGAATACTCATTAGATTGAATTGATTTTCTCAGATGTTACTCTATTATAGTCAGGCTTTCAAATGATATAAAACTCTCAGAATTATTTTATTTAAAAGTTACAGTTTTTTAGTCCTAAAAAAGATTCAGTTTTTATCTATTGATACGTTAATTCATTAATTTAGGAAAAATAGACTACTTTAAAATAAAATTACCAATTAAACATTTTCAACAACACACACGTTGTACTTTAACACACACATATATTTTAATTATAACAAATTGATATCAAATTACTGTAAAATTAAACTAATTAAATTTAATTTCATTATTTAAAAGTTGTAAAAACAACTAATAAATGTCAATCTAACAAGAGCTAATTTGAATTTAATAAATACAATATACTGTATTGAAAAAGAAAAGAATAAACAAAAATACTTTAGATTATAATTAAATACTAAGACACTTGAAATGATCTCCTATTTGTAGGTGGCCTGGCTCAAAGTGGAGTCCATAGACAGTGACAGTGATTCAACGGAATCCACGTTACTTACCATTCATACACAGACTGTCATAAAAGACCAGAGATTTCGTGTATCACATAATAATTACCGGCAGTGGTATCTCCATATTAAGAGTGTAAGGGCTGCCGATAAAGGTATGCATACCATTCATTAAATATACACCATACCCGTGCATGCCATACGTGAGCGGCAACTATTTTAATTAATTAATAAATACAATAAAACTAATAATTCAATTGTATTGCCAGTTATTGGCTAATATATAGCGACAGCGAAAGAGTGTTAAAATTAATTAAAATCCATTTTACTTTTTTTTAATTCACGTTTAGGCTGGTATATGTGCCAAATTAATACCGAACCAATGATAACCCAGGTCGGTTATGTGGATGTATTAAGTGAGTACATTTCTTTCATAATAATTATTAATAATTTAAATTAAACTTTATATAAAATAAATAATTAAAAACTATCGATTACTTTAAAGAACTAATTGTTAGGAATTGGTAGAAATGTTGTGTAAAAATAGCTAAATTTAATAATACAAAAATAGAAATTCAATTAGCCTTTTGATTTTTATTACCCAGAATAACATTATACCGTGTATATTGTGTTATCAAAAAATATAAGAGTGAATTAATAATACTTTTTTTTGTCGCTATTTTAATATTCAAACCGTTCGCTCACTCTCTGGTGTTTTTCGTATAATTTTTCAATAATCTCTGAACTCATCTGAGCATAAAATCACACAAAATTATATACCATTCCTATCATTTTTAATGTCAATGAAAATTAATAGCTTTTGAAACTAGTATTATGGAAATGGCTTTAATTTTATTGTTGCGAAATGTAATAATTATTACCCATTTCTGGGTAATTATGACTACTCTTTTTTTTGTTATAATTTAGTTTAAAATAAAATGGGATACATTTTAATATTCAAAACCTTTTGTAACAAAACCTATAGAAAAATGTTGAGGCAGAATTATTTATAACCTTTAATCTGTATGTGAAAAATAAATGCATTCATTAATGAAAATGATTTTTTTTGCTACCGTCTACTTTGACAAAAAAGTATTGATCCATACGAATTACTTTTGTTATTAATAATAAAATGAAAGCATATTTTAAATTAAACTCAAAACTATGGCTTCGAAAACAATATATTATATAATAATAAAGAATAAAAGGCATACAGAATATACTGAATATTCTTCATTCCGTTAGCCTTTCTATTATATACCGTAATATCCACTGAAAGTGACTACAAAAATGAAGTTATCTATCATTTTAAATAAAACTCTAATAAATAACATTGCATTATATACTATCCATGAACTGCCTGTCCCTCCAGTTCCTCCTTCTATTGTGGACGCCGACACCAGTTCTGATACATCAGTAGACGAGCGCCAAAAATTGTCGCTCAGATGTCGAGCCAATGGTTATCCGGCGCCGACCGTCACGTGGAGGCGGGAGGACAACAAAGATCTCAATCTGGGTCTCTATGGCGGCAAAAAGTATTCCGGTGAGTATAGTATGAAATGGCACCGGCAGCCCTACCATTATTACAGGTGTAATAACTTAAGAATAGGTATATTGTATATTGATCGCAGAATTTATCGTAATATAAAGTCCTTTAAATTTAATAAACTTTTTTAGACTTTCCTAACTTACTATATGAGAGAATTTTTATTGTACTGTACTTTTAGCTATATTTCATAGCTGTGTACAACAGTGTTTGAGAGTCAGAAAAATGAGTTTAATTTAATGTAATTGAAAAACTAAATAACTTCATCATAATTTTTATCCCTTAAACTACAGTACAATTTATAATACAGGCGTTTGACAACAGAATATAGAGAAACACTAAATGTCTTGCTATGAGTCGAGAGTCACGAACCACTTGTTTATTATCATTGTTTCACATATTTTTGTTGTGTGGACCCAATGTTTCCATAGTTTATGAGTCATTTAGTTGGAGTGGATGCTGAAGAAGTGGTTCACAAAATGAGACTTTTTTTAGTGGTGGGTGACAGTCGTGAAGAGTCCTACTACTGGTCTCTCAAGAAATAATACGCTAATACTTTGGCGAGTCATGAATCACAGATAGAGTGAGACTTATACGAGAGAGAGAGAGAGAGAGAGAGAGAGAATACATTGAAAATCGATTGACATCTCTTATGATGTATGACTACGAGTGTTGTGTCCATTGATGGCAAACAATTGCATTCACTCCTATGCTGTATATTAAAAATTGTCCACAAAAGAGACCATTCATTTTAGGGGGAGACCTGAAAATTGCCAACAATTGCCATATATTTTCAATTCATAAATAGTGGTCCAATAATACTGAATTCCCATTTTTTATTGATAGCGACTAAAGTGGAGGGCGAGTACTTGAATATAAGTCAAGTGACAAGAGGTTTGTCATCTAATAAACAATCTATTATTTCGTATTTTAGTTCATAAATTTATTTTTATGCAAAACTTTTTTGCATGTATAATACATGTATAATTTTGCATGTTCAAAATTCTTAAATTATTGTTTTGAATACATTTGTTTTCTTAGAAATTATATTCTTATAAATTAACTTTCTCTTTTTATAGGACAATACTATGCATTCATTTTCATTGGCTTAGAAATCTTTTATTTCTTGTTTGATAATGACACACTATTATAATTTATAATTCAATTTCATTTATTTAAAATTGTATTCAAATCATTAGTGCATAAAATTTATACAAAGTCTAATTGTGTATAACATTTATTTCCATAACAGAGGATATGGGGGCCTATCTATGCATAGCCTCTAATTCAGTGCCGCCGAGTGTTAGCAAACGTATGATAGTTAGTGTCAATTGTGAGTATATTTTACAATTAATTCGCATTTTAAAATAACATTTCACTACATGGCTTATTAACGACAAATTATTTAAACCGTTTAGACTAAACATTTAACTCAATCCAACACTTTTTCATAAACAAATAATTAGTTTATAAAGAAAATTATATAATTCATTAGACATTCAAACTCTACAATTAGCTTTAGATAAATGTTTACACAGACAGTTAACCTAAATATCTAGTAAATACATAGAAATCTGTTAATTTTGTTAGATTAAAGAATATTCACATTTAATGATAAATAAACATTGAATTTCTATGAATTACTTGAATTATTAAAATCATTAAATTCCTTAGTAGTAAAACTCATAATTAATTATTTAAATACTGAATATTTATACGTTATGTTAATCAAAATAGTTTTTATTTCTTAACCAAAAACAACAGATCTTATGTTAATAATAAAAATTCAATCCCTTTAGCAATATTTGACACAAAATATGATGACTTCAGCAAAACTTTTACCACACTTTAGGTTCAGTTGACATAAACATAAAATCAAAATAAAAACACAAACTTTGAAATTGAAACACAACACTAAAATTCAAAGAAAATTCAAAACCAAAACCAAAAATAATACTAAAACTACAATAAAAATCACAAATTCTTGCTATAAATTGTGCACACATTTGGCTATAATGTATGCCTGGTTTACAGTTCGTCCAAAAATAAAAGTCTCGAACCAATTGGTTGGGTCGCCGGTGGGCAGCGACGTGGAGCTGGAGTGCCGGTGCGAGGCGTCACCCCTACCGCTCACCTCGTGGATCAGGTTTGACGGCACTGTACTGATGGCCACACATAAGTACCAAACCCGCGAAGAGCACGACTCGTATCGCACGACAATGAGACTCAGGATCACGAATATCGACGAAAAGGATTTTGGGAGTTATAAGTGTGTCGCCAAAAACAGTCTGGGTGAAAAGGAGGGCTTGGTTAGGCTATACGGTACGCATATTATCATATCTTATAAGAGTTTCATTTTATCTTTACTACCGAAGTTAAAAATCTTTCCATAAAATTCACATCATTTGTCATTATATGCAAAAATACATTCATTTGGTACTGTATCTACTATGTATATGATTTAAAGTTTTGCATTGGTTCTTATGTGACACATATTGTATTAATAGATTAGTAAATATTTGTACCAGATTAAATTAATTTAGATGTTTAACACAAATCTAATTTCATACTTATAATAAAATTATAATGAATTGTGAATTATAAGTCAAAATTAGCAAAAGAAACTTTTAAACATAGAAAGCCTACTCTGCTATCTAACGGCTCATATATTCAATGATTACTAACTTAGCCATCAATTGTTACAGAAGTAGCCCTTCCCGTGAATCAGGAGTTGTCTCCGAGTGTATGGCCGCCCGGTTTCCTGAGTCCCAGCCATCGGAACAACTCATCATTGATGCGATCAAACGTGGGCTCATCGATGATGGGGGACACCAAACACGACACCTCCTCCTCGTCCGCCACCTCTGTCTCCTCGAGTGCCGCCAAAAGTCATTCAAACAAATCGGTTCCACATCACAAGACATTCAATCAATTCATACCATATATAATGACAACAATTTCTATACTAGTGGTCACCAAAAGTCATTCAAATATTCATTGTTAATATGCTTTATAAGTTGAATAACACTTGAATAATGAATTGAATTTTTGTATTGAATTAAAAACCACAAAACAAGTTATCAAACAATTTGTATGATTAAAATAACATCTTATAGAAAATACAGAATTGATAAAATACAATGATAATAACAAAATACAATAATTAATAAATAAATAAAACAATTTTTAATTTCTTATAACATGAGATCATACTTGAAAACTAAATGATAATTACTACTAATCTCATAGCGAATGAAATAATTGTGGTATAAATGAAAATGTGAATCATTTGCTCACATTATGCCGAAAACATTGACAAAGAAAATAATGTATCGATACTTCATATTTAAAATGTTTTAAAAAGTTTTGAGAGATAATTACTACAATGATTGTAAATTCTAATAATTATATGTTATGAAAGAGTTTGGGGTTTCAACTGAAATGTATTATAACATTATTACCACAAACCTCTTGGAAATAATAAGTTATAAGAATTTGTTTGCAAACACTAAATGTAGTTATATTTTAAACTAACTTATTATTAAGACATGTAATATATTGAATACTCACAGAATTGCTGTAAATATTTGTATAACTGTATTATAAAAACAAATCTCATAAAATTATAAGATTTAAAATAAAGTAATAAATTTTATAGCATATTAATCTACATTTCATATACTCTGTATTTTCCAAATTATACTATTTTAATGAAAAAATCTAAAACTATATGCCTTTCCATTAAGAAAATTAGATGCAATTAATTAGATAAATTGCATTTCAATAACATTGTTTTCCTATTGATTAACATTATGGCTATTATTGCACGCGCAACTAGTCTAAACTTTCATTACGATTTTTAGAGTACTGCTTATCATGAGCACCCGGTACTAAGTTAATACCAGAGCTATATTTTTCATTAAAAACTTATAAGACTTGTCAATTAGTAATTGATCTGTGTGTTCATAAAGTTTTGTATAATTTTGTTAACTAATTTTTGTTTTATTTACAATTAAATTCTTAGTTTAATCTATCGCTACGGAATGTATAATAAAAACTATTTGTATACAAGTAGTCATGAAAATATTCATTGTTGGCATTATGTGCTATAAGAATAATAACATTTAAATTATCATAGATTTGAATTCTTATCTTAATATCAATTGCTAACAGCAATGGCATCACATTTTAAGACCAAAACATTTGTCATAAAAGATATCAATGACAAAATCTATAAGGATTTGATTAAAAGTAATTCCGCAAAGAATAAAGAGATGCAATACTATTGTAACAAAATTAAAGCAATATTGATGCGACGGATGCAAGGGTATGACTGGGACATCGATGTCATATACATCACAAGTAATGACCACCAAAAGATGGTCTACTCATTTGATGTGCCCAGTGATAGAAAGTCTTACTGTTTGCTTCATTTTATCAAAATGAATAAAGAGGTACTTATTAAGGGGTTTCAGCACTAATTGGTGAGTTGTGATACAATTTATACAATTTTTACATTAAATTTTAATGTATTTTTCCCTTAATTACAGATATGTTATATTGGCTCTCGTTATGATGACTCCCTTATATTTTATGCCAATTTATAAGTTATTCAAAAACTAATTTTTTTAAAATATAGTCACATATATCGTGAAACCATAGGTTTTAGAGAAAAATTGTAAATTAATTCTTAGATTAGTTTTGACACGTATTACACATAATTTTGTTTAAAAATTTTATTAATGAAAACACATAAAAATGATTTTTACAAATATTTTTTGTGAATTTATTA